GAGGGGGGCGGTGACGGCTGTGGGCACGGGCTCTCCTTCCGGGCTAACGCAGACCTCTGAAATGACTGGTTGTCAGAAAATTAGTATGGTGTTTTTCATAGAAAAAAAAAAAAAACATGCCTTTTCTGACAACCTAATAGCAGCGATGCTTCTGCAGCATTGCGAATGTAGATAATGTCACTAAATAGTAGACTAAAATGACTAAGGTGGCCAACTTCATGTCATGTGCATTTTGCTGCAACTATGAAAAATAAAGCTACTGAAGACCTGGCGGGGCCTCACATTACCCGGTCGGGCTCCCTCGCTGCTGGCGTTCGTGGCTGTCGCATTGGGCCAACTCTCCAAGGGCGGCTCTTCAAGCCCACCTGGGGGAATGGAGAAGAGCGACGTGAGGAGGCATCTGCACCAGGGATCAGGGAGCAAAGTCGGTCAGCTGGGGAGGGTGAGAGCCCCCGTGGATGGGGACGGATTGTTCCACAAAGTTTGCTGGGCACCTCCTCGTGTCAGGCACTGTCCTAGACTCTGGGAAGAAATGAACCTGCTTTTTCATAACCACACACGCAATTCACACACTGGTAACAGCTCTCCTCTCCCTAATCCGCTCAGGAACACTCAGAAGCAAATGCACCAAGTTAACAGGCAACCCCAAAGGCCGCTTCCTCCGCTCCTCCCGCACCCCCACCCCCCACCCCCGACAAAGACCCAGTTCAAGCAGGGTAAGTGCCAGGCCTGGTGGCCACGCAGCAGGGAGTGCAGGGGTGCTGTGCACAGGACGTGCTCTGGGGATCCGGGGCATTCTCTGGGCATTGCAGTCTCCTCTGCGAGGTGAGTCTCTTCTAGAGACTGCTGGGTGTACTTATGAATTAGACTCTGTAGACACTGTGTCCGCCAAGGACAGCCGTGCTCATTTGCGTCTGCCAGAACCATCATCTAAACCACGTTAACACCCAGGAACGCCAGGAAGAAGCCCTGCTGCCCACCAGGGCAGTCCTGGGCACTGCAGGTTCGAACACGACAGACAGGGGTCCTGCCTCAAGGCTGCACATCCTAAGTGGGAAGCTGGACAATACCTAGTGAGAAGATAAAGGAATAAGGTAATTGCTGGCTTAGGAAATACTCCAAAGACTCAACTCAGTGAGTGGTGGAGCCGGGAAGGAGAAGGCCCTCCGGGGAGGTGACATTGAAGTTGAGATCTGAAAAGTGAGAAAAATCTAGCCACGTGGCGATCTGGGCCTGAGTATCCTCGGCAGAATGAGGGGGTCAGGAGAGAAGCTGGGAGGGAAGTGAGCTTGCCCCGTGGAGGGGCAGCCTGTGGTGGGCGACGGGGAGGGTCTTGCCAGTCACATTGTGCTTGGACTTGACATTCGTTGTCACAGAAACCTGCAGAGGGCCCGGAGCAGAGACGTTTTCAGTTTCACTGCTCCAGTAAAGTGATCTGCAAGGCAGGCCGAGTCGGAGCCCTGCACTGCCGTGGGGAGGGTGCTGGCTGACTGGCACACTGCAGGGCCTTGCAGAGGTCCTGCCCTAGAAGGAGATGGCCTGGGGGGGGGGGCTGAGGATGGGAGGAGCCACCTCTGACTCCTGCATCTGGGCTGTGAGCACCCGGGAGGGCAATGACACGAGCAGATCTGTGGACGAAGGCTTACCCAGGAGAGACGGTAACATACCTGAAACCACATCAAAGTCTCCAAGGAGAGCCTGTTTACTAACAGCTCTTGCGTTTGCTCAGAAACATGCAGCTTACAGCAGTTTCCCTGATCTGCTGTAACTCACTAGCCTAGGGGTGGGTGTAACCATCTTACAGAGGGGGAAAACTGAGACACACAATGACCCCCCATTGCCCAGCCTGTAAGGAAGCTGAGGGCTCAGACCAGGTCCTGGACGGAAACCGGGTGACCACCCTGGCCCCACAGATACCCAGTTCCAGAGCTGCTCGGCGAAGGCTCTCACACAGCACCGCACCCCTAACGGGGAGCTCAGTCCCCATGCCTGGGCGCCGCAGGAGACAGCGTGCGGCCCACTGTCCCAACTGCCCACGCCCAGGCCTGCTTTCCCTCTCTGTGTTCATGACAGCGGCGGTGGCTGCGGCTGCCAGGCCTCCTGGAGAGGACGCGCCTGCGAAAACAGGAGGCAGGAGGCTGGGGCGGCGGCCCCCTGCCAGATGCGCTGCCTTTCTGGCCAAGTCCGAATCCGCTCACACTCCCTGCAGCTGCCGGGCCTCTGCTGCCAGCCCAGCCCTCTGGGTATTCTCCCAGCTGCGATATCATTTCCTCTCGGTGAGCGGTCAGGGGAAAGCCTGCCGGTGTGAAACGTCCCCAGCACAGGAATGTGCCATCTGCGGGGTGAAGGCCCTCAAGCCCAGCCTCTGGGCCCGGTGCAGGCTCCTCTGGCTGCACAATGGCTGACCATAACTCGGCCCTTAGAGTTTTCATCTGTCAAATGGGTTGTCAGGAGGATCAAATGAGGTAATTGGTTTGTTTAGGCATTTGTTCATCCAACAAATATTTACCCAGCACCTGCTCCAGGCCAGTTTCTGCTGCTCGGGATTCCACACTGAAGAACCTCTAGCCCGACCTCGCGGAGATGTTATTCTGACAAAGAGTGAGCGGAAATGACAAGCACACAGGCCACTAGACCCGCGAGTCCACTGTGGATAAGGACCGTGAGGAAAGTACGTGAGGGTGAGGGAACAGAGCCAGGGAGGAAGTCTGAGGCACCCGGGGACGCGCACTGCAAACCGCAAGGACGGCAGCGGGTACAAAGGCCCCGGGGTGCGGCGTGCTGGGCAGTCGGGAGCCGGGGCAGCTGGAGCGGAACGGGTGAGGGGGACCGTGGGCAGAGGCAGGTTGGAGGGCCAGTGTGCACGACCTTGCAGCCCATTCTCAGGATTTGGACTTCTACTCTGAGTTAACCAGAGGGGAACCAGAACATGAAGGACGTTGTAACTGCTCTGGTTCTGTACAAGAGTTATTAATGGAGGACAGGAGGGGAGCAGAAGCTTGGTTTGCCTTGAGATTCTGTCCAGCAGGGGTCCTCAGCCCCCGGCCTGTAATGGTCTGTGACCTATTAGGAATGGGGATGCACACAGGAGGTGAGCTGTGAGCAAGCACCGGCAGCTTCATCTGCATGTACAGCCACCCCCATTGCTCGCATTACTGCCCGAGGTCCTCCTCTGTCAGAGCAGCACTGGCATGAGATTCTCAGAGGAGCATGGGGGCCAGCAGGTGGCATGCTGATTGGAGTGCTGGACTCCCACATGGCTGACCACGGTTCAACTCCTGGACCTCATGGCTTGCTTTCTCACTTTCTTTCTCTCTGGTGCCCTGGGCGCTGGGGAGACAGGTGCCCGGGAGAGGAGGGAAGACTCAGGATTTACTGCATGCTGATCGTGGAGCCGGCTGTGCGCCAAGTGCGTTCTTGACGTGGGTTTTGTCACGCTAGCCCCAGAAACACCCAACGACAAAAGGGACCAAAAACGTCCCCATTCCACAGAGGAGGAAACCAGGCTGTCATGGCACCTTGCCCGCCTTGCCTGTCTGGAAGGTAAAGGGACAGTTAAGAAGGGGACAGCTGAGGGGGCCTGGCTGCACCTCCAGCCTGTGCTCCTCCCCTCAGCTGCAGGCCCAGAAATGAGCACAGGGAAGCAGGCAGGGTGCTGCTGGGGCACTGTTCGGGAGATCTGGGACAGAACGTCCCAAGTCACAACGAGGTGGGGCCGTTTGTCCTCCTTTGTCCTCAGCAGTGAGAGACGGAGGCTCCATCTTTTTTCTCTGAAGGGCAACAGATCTCAGGCTTCCAGCGTGGTTAGGCCTGGGGTCTACCTTCAGTTAATGTGGTTTGGCGCTCCCATGACCAAAACCCTTCTGTGGCTCCCACCGTCCCTGGGATGAATTCCAGTACCTAGTACGACTGGCCTGGAGAGGCCCTTCGGGACTCCACCTGCTCCTCAGGCCTCACCTCCTGCCACTTCTGTGTTCCCACTCCGCGCTCAGCCACACCGAGCGACTGTCAGCGCCCTGGGTTTCAATTTTCTTAACGATGCGTCTTCCTCAGTTACAGCCGCCTCTACCCTGGCCAACTACCCCCAACCCTGGTCCGTCAAGTGTCGGCAGCCAGCACTTCCTCTGGGCAGCTGTCTGTGCTCCCTGGCACAGAGCAGATACTCAGGAAATGTGCCGGTGGGTGGACAGTGGACGGGGACAGGGTGAATGAGTGAGTCAGGTGGACAGTGTTCACCAAGGAGACTCATCACTCCTTTATTTTTAGATCTATTTTTGCTATAGGTCACATGCCCTCGCCAGAGACAGAGAGAGAGAGAGAGAGAGAGAACTCATCCCCCAGGTAGGATGGCCATATCACAATCCCTTCTCCTCCATTCCCCTCTTGGGATTTTGGGCACACACACACACAGGCGCGCCCAGTGTGTTTTAAGTCGCTGGGTCTGGGACTAGAAATCACTGTGACCTATGTAGAAGTCCAGCGACATAACCATTATGCCATCCTGCCGGTCTCAAGAACGCCATCATTTCTAACACAGCTCCCCTGGTGCAAAAGTGCGCTCGGATCAGCTTTCCGAAAGAGAGGGGACCAGCTCTCCTTGCAGCAGTGGCTCTCACCCTTGGAACAATGGCTGCCATTTAAAATCCTCTGAGGACCCTTGAACACAACAACAACACTCCCGTCTGGGTCCCAACCCCAGAGCTGCACACTCAGTAGCACTGGGCCTGAGCGCTGCTGCGACTTCTCAAAGCTCCCCAGGGGGTTCTAAGGTGCAGCCAAGGTTGATATTTGCTAGCAAAAGAATCCTGGAAGAGGAAGCTTTGTCTCCTGCTAGTCTCTCACAAGCAAACTCTCTCCCAATCGTCTTCCGTTTTTTGGGAATGGAAGACACGGAGCTAGAGACGGGCACAGGGAACAGTAACAGAAGTCATTTCTCACTTCCAAATCTCTGGGAACCGTCCTGATAGTAAAAGCTAGCAAAGGAACAGGACAGGTGTGGCTGGGCTCTGCCTGCAGCTGCAGGCCCCACCAAACAGGGAGCGAGAAAGCTGCTGCAGGCCCCACCAAACAGGGAGCGAGAAAGCTGATGCAGACAAAGATGGGGGAGGGTGGGGGCAGCCAGGGGATGGGTTTTTCTTTGCCTGCAATCGCAAGACAAAAAAATGTTTGGAAAAGCCCATATATATCCCCATATTTGATCTTTGCTTAATTACTTCTCCAGTGAGAGGGTGTGCAAAGGCCTAGTAGATTTCATTAGTCACAGGAGTTTATTCAAACGTCTCCTTTGCATAAGAAACCCAAGCTTCCAGCTGGTCTCTGGGAAAGAATGCCCTCCAGGCCCTGAAAAGAGGGCTCCAGGCCTGTT